AGTTACAAATGCAATTATATAATTTGGATCTTTTGTAAATGAGTCCATAGTCCCATACCAGACAGGTCAAGGATATTGGGTGCTAGTATTGATTGGGCAACGAGTGGTTGCTTATTACGATTTAGGTTTGTTTTTCTTTCCAATATAATGAAAAGATCATAAGTATTTGTCCTTTAATTTATTCAAATGCCAATTGCATATTAATATATAGTTCAGGTACACGTTGTAAGTAACTGCTTATTTTCCCGAGATCAAGATCGCAATTATCATCTAATGCTAATTATGTTTCAATGTAAGGTTATGTTTTGTTTATGCGTCGTGCATGTTTTATTATCAGAGAAACCGGATATGAGACAGTTATTTTTTGCAGCTATATTAAGGTTACAGCACGAATGGGTCAACGTGATCGGAGAAAGGTCATACCCTCACGAATACCAGCGTGAAATAACATCTTAATGCTACTGGGTTTGGTATGGTGAGTAACAGAGAACGAAAGACCCTCTTTACAGAAAATGAGGCTTTCCATCTTTTTCTTCAGAGATGACAACGCACGTGCATTTTGATATTTAATCTTGGATAGATATAGATGTATGTCGGCTACAGCATCCACTCACCATCAGGTGAACTTTATTATGTGTTTTCATCACATTCAAATGTGCCCTCCCTCCTACGTGACCGTAAGTGCTAGAAAGTACCCGAAACTACGAAAATTAAAATAATATAATGCGTAAAATTTATTTTCATTTCACTAATTTTTTAGTTCACAGAAATTCATATTATATCAATGTTTCCTGTTATTAATTCATTATAAAAATATATAATCAGTTTTTTTTTTTATATTAATGAGACTTCAAATATTTTTATCTTAACGCAACCTATATAATTAATTGGCAAACCCAATAAAGACAATCTGTGAAAAAACCCTGTGTAGAGATGTGGGCTTTTGATAGGCCTAATATGGCGTTACTAGTTATTTTCTACATTTTTTATAATTTGGGTATCTAACGAAAGAGTTTGCTGAGAAGAATATAAATTAAATGACGTCCGCGTTCATCTTTTCGAGAAGATGGTGTTGGTGTACTACTGGCAGGCTAAACTGTAAAACATAGCGGGGTCATGTCTTAACTTATATCGAACTACACTAAATTCAGGCGGTGGTTCAAATATTCTGAAAAAAAAATCGCCACCATAGCAAATTTAATGAGTTAACAACTCAGCAAAGATTTGGGATAGTTTGGTGGTGCTCGAACAAATGTATGGCTCGACGAGGGTAGCTGACCTGGTTGGCGATAAAAAAATTAAAAATGACTATTCCAAGATTGCGATCAAACAGACATAGAAACACGTCCAGCGATAACTAAAAAGTACAAAATAAATTAATAGTAAAAAGCCGAATTTTTGTAACAAGCTTTTATTAAAATACCCTAAATCTATTGATAAAAATCTATAATAAATTTATATAGAAAAATTACATGTCATATTGTTTGTCCGCGATGAACTCAGATTTTACTCGATGGATTTTAATGAAATTTTGTAAATGTACTGCTTTCTCGAACTTGAGAGATAGGATAGTTTTTATCACGGTAAGTAACCCTCATTATATTTATTGCGAACTCCAAGATTTTTTAAAGGACAAAAAGTAGTCGGAAATGACAGAGCAGTCTGTCTGACCAGTAAATATCATATAAATTTTGTAATAAAATAAATTAATGAGTTTTATTTAATTTAAAATGTATTTTCTTCTCATTAGTATAAATTTAAATAAAAACGTTTTTAATATTAATTTATTACCTTTATATTATCATATTATTATATTTTTAATATTAATTTATTATCAATGTAACATCTGATTGTATGAAATTAGCTGTCGTTATAAATACGTGGTATTTAAAAACAACTTTGTGGAATGGCGATGTGCGGTAAATATTGCATAACGCAACACATAAGATCTATAGGATAATAATGTTGTTATCACGGGCAGGTACATTGGCATTGGGTACGAAACAAAAATGCGCAAAAGTCGTTATTTTACTTAGCAGAAATGAAGACAACGGCACCAAAGCCCTTAAAACTTTAACAGAAAGATATTATGGGAATGACAAAGTGTTTTTTTTTAGTATTAAACGAGATTGAAATTAGAAATACTGTAATATTAATGTACCCGCATTGATTAAATGGTGTTTTAAATTCTGAAAGCGCATGAGACGAAATAAATCCGAAAAAGGCTGGGGAACTATAATTAATACGCGTGAAGAAAATCAAAACAAAAAAAAAAAAAAATTAAAGAAGAATAAAAAAAGATAAAAAAAAAAAAAAAAAGAGCGAACAACAACCATGGCAAACAAAAACGTCCAAAAAAAGCCAAATAAAAAAAAAACAAGTAAGACGAAGGTTATGGTTTTTGAAAGAGAAGAAAGTAAAACGATTTGTGAAATAAGAATAGAAGGGGAGTTGATCGAGCAAGTAGATGAGTTTGTATATTTGGGTTGCGTATTTAGCAGGGATGGGAGATATGATAAGGATATAGAAGGACGAGTGAATGCGGGAAATAGAGTAAATGGGGCCCTGCTCTCTTTTGTGAAGAGTCAAAATGTGTCGAAAAAGGCACGTATGGCAATTCATAATGCTGTGTTAGTCGCTACCTTAATGTATGGTAGTGAAAGTTGGGTGTGACAAAAGAAGCACGAGAGTAGAATGATCGCAGTAGAAATGCGGTCGCTAAGGAGTATGTTAGGGATGAATCTGAATGACAGGGTGAGAAATTGTATGATAAGAGAAGAGTGTGGTTTGCAAGATGATGTTGTGACCAGGATTAAGAAAGAAGTGCTTCGGTGGTTTGGTCATGTGGAAAGAATGAATGAGGAAAGAGTGACAAAGAAAATTTATGTTGCAGAAGCGAATGGCAGAGTCGGAAAGGGACGTCCGAGGCGAAAATTTATCGACCAAATTGAGAATTTATTGCAAACGGGCCAAATTAGGAGTACCCTTAACCGACAAGCATGTATGCGTAGGTATATGGATGTGAAAGAGGCGAGAGAGGTGTGTCAGGATCGTGCCAAATGGAAGTCTGTAGTCTCTGCCTACCCCTCTGGGTGACAGGCGTGAGTGTTTATGTATGTAATAAGTACGAGTAGCACATTTTCAAGAACCGCAAATATAACTTTGTCATTTATACAAACACTATGAAAATCAAAGTAATTTGTTGCTGGCGATAATGATAGTGGTATTTTGACTCAATATAGAATCTGTGCTTGTTACTAGTGATAGTGGTATTTTGACTCAATATACAATATGTGCTTGTTACTAGTGAACTCGAGTGAACTAGGAATGTCTAGAACAGGTAAATGAAATTGTATACTTGGGGAGTGCTTTCAGCCGGGATGGATGTGATTTAGATGTGGATAGGCGTGTCGCTGCCGGAAACAAAGTCAATGGTGCCCTGAATGCATTAGTCATAAGGCAAGGCGTGGTGAAGGGTGCACGCCTTGCAATACATAACGCAGTGTTAGTACCGACTTTGTTATATGGCAGCGAAACCTGGGTATGCCAGAATAAGCATAAAAGCAAGTTGAATGCAGTAGAGATGCGATATCTTCGTAAAATGTGTGGCGTTACCATAGCCGATCGAAAGCGAAATGAAGAGATTCGCAATATGGCAGGATTGAAAGATATTGCGAAACTCTTAAACAACCCGAAGACTCAGAAACACTCAGAAGCTTTTCCGTGATCATGCGGAGAGAAAAAATTTGATCCGTGCATCCTCTTCCAGGTCTAAATCCGCATTGTGCATCCCCTTCAAAACAAATAACCTCAAAACCTTCGAGTAAACTTTACTTGCTAAACTGGTCAAGCTGATCGCCCGATAGCACCCGCAGTCAAAATGTGAACCTTTACCTTTATATAAAGGCACAATGACCGCGGATCGCCAATCATCCGGGACATCTCCCGTCCGCCAGCACAAATTGCACAGCAGACGAAAGCTGTCCCAGACGCGAGGCCCACCGTACTTGACCATTTCAGCAGTAACTCTGTCTAGTCCCGCAGCCTTACCACATTTCAAACTTCAAATCGCACGTTCAATCTCTTTCATGCTGATGACCTCAGTGTCATCGAGAACCGCGTCTGGCGTGGCAGTCATGGCGTCACCCCCCGGATCCTTCACTAAGATCATGACACGCATACATTTCTCTATAAAATTCACTCCATCGGTTCATGACGTCCGATTTTTCTGAGAGGACGTCATTGGTTCTCGAAAGCACTTTGTTCATTCTTAAGGCTGTCGCACCACTCCGGGATCTTCCAACCTCTTTCCAGAAGAGTTTGGAGTTTTCCTTAAAGTTGTGCGACAACCTCTCGTCCGCTTCTATTCTACACCTTTCACGTACTTCCTCAATCAATGTTTTCGCATGAACTTTCTGCAGCTTGTATCTTTCTTTCATCTTCTCTCTCATATGCTTATCGTTACTAGAGGCCAAGTAGTCTAACCATGCTTTTTTCTTCTTTTTTACAACTTCTCTTACTTCATCATTCCACCATGCATCTCTTCTTTTACTACTACCTCTTTTTATCGTTCCACATACTTCTTCCGCTGCACTTACCATTCCATACCTAAGGTTCTGCCATGTTCTCTCCACACATTCTTTCCTGACATCGATGGTGTCAAGCTTTTCGGCTACCCTCTTAAAAAATTATTACGTATTACGGCCGGGAGTGATTGTAAACAATCAATCACGCTCTGCTACCAGAAATGTTACGGCGCTGAGTTACCCCGACAAAGGCCGATTGAGCTAGAGCCCACAGTAGCCCAATTCGACGAGTAACAGAGAGGAGGATCCAATGACCTGTGGATAATTACATATTACTATATTAAAAAAGGGGGTGCTAAGAATCTCCGGTGGAGGTTCGGTTGCCACCTACGACGACTCGACCTGGCAACATTTAACGCACGCACACTGAAGACTGACGAGAAGATCCTGGAGCTGGAAGAAGAGATAGAAAAGTTGCGCTGGAGTATTATAGGATTATCCGAGGTCCGAAGAGAGGGGGAGGACACGGTGATTCTCGAATCCGGCAACTTGTTCTATCACCGGGAGGGCGACCATCTGTCCCAAGGAGGTGTCGGATTTATCGTCCACAAGTCTCTCGTCAACAACGTTGTAAAGATTGGGAGTGTGTCGACGAGGGTCGCGTACCTGATACTCAGAATCAGCAAACGGTATTCGCTGAAGGTCATACAGGTTTACGCACCAACCTCGGCACATCCCGATGAGGAGGTGGAAGAAATGTATGAGGATATTTCCAAAGCCATGCATTCCTCCAAAACCCACTACACGGTGTTGATGGGAGACTTCAACGCAAAACTAGGCACAAGAGAAAGCGGTGAGCTGAAGTTAAGGAAATTTGGAGCAGGGCAACGGAACCGAAGGGGCCAGCAGCTGGCCGACTTTATGGAGAAAGAGGGACTCTTTATGATGAACTCTTTCTTCCAGAAGCGGCCCCACAGGAAGTGGACCTGGTCGAGCCCCCGACGGTTCGACAAAAAATGAGATTGACTTCATTATGACGACCAGACGCCAACTGTTCAGTGATGTCTCAGTGATCGCAAGGGTGAAAACTGGCAGCGATCACCGAATGGTTAGAGGCACACTGAACCTAAACGTTAAGTTGGAGAGGTCTCGTCTAATGAAGTCAACGCTCCGTCCCCCTCGTGCTCTAATCCAGAATCCCGAAAACTTTCAGCTCGAGTTACAAAACCGCTTTCAGTGCCTACAAGATTGCAATACAGTGGACGATATGAATGACAAGCTCGTGGAAACTGTCCATGCGGTCGGAGCTAAGTTCTGCAAGACCCACCGCAGAAGAACACAAAAACTCTCCGATCACACTCTTAATCTCATGGCTGTTAGACGGGAGATGAGGCTGCAATCGTCAACAGATTTGACAGCATACAGGCAACTGAACAGACAGATTTCCAAATGCATGCGGCGAGACTTACGCAACTTTAATACTGCTCGTATTAAAGAAGCGATCGAGCGGAACCAGGGCTCCAAAGTCTTTGCCAGAGATCTGTCTGCCAGAAAGAGCCAACTGTCAAAGCTGAAGACTGAATGTAGCAGCATCGTTTCCGGGACACCTGAGATGTTGAGTGAGATTGAGAGGTTCTATGGGCAGCTGTACACATCATCGTTGGAGCCACACGCAAGTGTGAGTAACGATCCAAGAGCAAGTCTTATCCGACACTATTCCGATGATATCCCGGACGTCAGTCTAAGCGAGATTAGAATGGCTCTCCAACACCTTAAAAACGGCAGGGCTCCAGGCAAGGATGGAATTACAGCGGAGCTTCTGAAAGCGGGTGGAAAACCGGTACTGGAAGTCCTTCAGAAGCTCTTCAATTCCGTCCTCCATGGTGGCACTACTCCAGAGGCGTGGAGCAGAAGTGCGGTGGTCTTGTTCTTTAAGAAAGGCGACAACGCTCTCTTGAAGAACTACAGACCGATTTCCCTTCTGAGCCGCGTCTACGTGCTGTTTTCGAGAGTCATTACGAATCGTCTCGCACGCAGACTCGACGATTTCCAGCCTCCCGAACAAGCCGGTTTCCGAAAAGGCTTCAGTACCATAGACCACATACATACCCTGCGGCAGATTGTACAGAAGACTGAAGAGTACAATTTGCCACTTTGCCTGGCGTATGTGGACTATGAGAAAGCCTTTGATTCCGTCGAAATTTGGGCGGTGCTGCAGTCCCTTCAGCGGTGCCAAGTTGACTGTTGGTATATCGAAGTGCTGAAGTGTTTGTACAGTATGACTACGATGGCTATCCGAGTACAGAACCAGAGCTCGAAACCTATCCAACTGCAGAGAGGTGTAAGACAGGGTGATGTTATATCCCCGAAACTCTTCACCGCTGCGTTGGAAGACGTTTTCAAGCTACTGGACTGGAAAAGATACGGTATTAACATCAATGGTGAATACATCAATCACCTTCGATTTGCGACGATATAGTCCTTATGGCAGAATCGCTGGAGGACCTTAGCACTATGCTCAATGACCTCAATGGTGTCTTCCAACGGATAGGTCTTAAGATGAACATGGACAAAACAAAGATCATGTTTAATGTCCATGTCACACCTATGCCGGTTATTGTTGGGAGCACTATGCTCGAAGTTGTTGACGAGTACGTTTACCTGGGACAAATATTCCGACTAGGTAAGTCCAACTTCGACCGAGAGGTCAATCGATGGATTCAACTGGGCTGGGCAGCGTTCGGGAAATTACGACACATCTTCTCGTCTGGTATACCTCAATCTCTGAAAACTAAAGTGTACAACCAATGCGTGTTGCCAGTGATGACTTACGGATCTGAGACGTGGTCCTTCACTGCTGGCCGTATGAGGACTCTCAAGGTCGCTCAACGAGCTATGGAGAAGGCTATGCTCGGAGTTTCTCTGCGTGATAGACTCAGAAATGAGGATATCCGCAGTAAAACCAGAGTGACCGACATAGCCCAACGGATTAGTAAGCTGAAGTGGCAATGGGCCGGCCATATAGCTCGAAGAACCGATAACCGATGGGGAAGAAAGGTTCTCGAGTGGCAGCCTCGTACCGGTAGGCGTAGTGTAGGGCGACCCCCCACTAGATGGAGTGACGACCTGGTAAGATATGCAGGAAGTCGATGGATGCAGGTGGCTCAGGACCGTGGTTTGTGGCATTACTTGGGGGAGGCCTATGTTCAGCAGTGGACTTTTGAAGGGCTGTAATGATGATGATAATGATGATATTAAAAAAAATTAACACTCGTATAGCTGCAGCATGGCTCTACCACGTAAATATAAATAAATGTTACGTATATGCTGTGACCCAAAGAAACTTATACCTATCTTTGATTCATTGTTTGAATTCTTAGCATTTGTATGCAGTCGTTTCTTACATATAAGATCATATTTCTCGTTATCAGTCAAGTAGATTTCCGTCGAAGTCATCATAAAAAATGGAATGTGCGCTGAAATTCAGTGGGGGCGTAGTCCTTCCCCGGTCGAGCAGATCTATCTCTGTTGAAGCTATAATAAAATAAAATGGCAAACGACTGTAATGCCTAAAAATCGTTGCGGATATTGTATTCAAACTAAGGCAAGTGAGTAGGCTTCTTACAGAAGATTGAATTTTGTAGAGTAAGAAGTATGTAAACAGGACAACTTCAACTTCTCATTTCAATATTAAAACATGACTGCAAAATATTTTTTTATCTAATCTTTATTATAAAACAATTTCAACAATCGATTACAAGTGGTGGACTCCATGCCTATGGTAATACCCACCGGGCCAACTTGGGGGAAATAGAGAAAAAAAGTTGGGAGGTATTAAAAAGTATTCACTACTGTTATTATTATAATAAATTAATAAGTGAAATTTCTGAAATCAAATATTTTTTCTTAACTTACATCAGACATTTAAAACTTTTCTGTCTTTGAAGAGCATCTAGCGCATTTCATAATATTTTTAATCTGCAGAAAATTTATAATATCGGTAAAAATGTGCACTACTTTATGAATTAATCTATTCATGTTGAGTTTTAGTCATTTTCAATAGAATTTTGATTAATTTTACAACCTACTGTTAAATTAGAATAAATAAAAAAAAAAAGAAACAAAAAAAGAAATATAAATTTAACTTCATGTTCATAATCACAAGTTGTTTCATTACTCCACATTATTCGAAAATTAACTAAAAATGAAAAAAAATTAAACTTTTGTAAATGAGTCCATAGTCCCATAACAGACAGGTCAAGGGTACGAGGGCGGCACTGAAAATTTCGGGAATCAAGGAAGTGACACAACATTACTATTTAAAAATGTATTTGTTGCTTTTCGAAGTATTCTCCGCGAAATTTGACACATTTTTCCATACGATGGATCCATTCATTGAAGCAACCATTCCATTCGGAAGTTGGGGTCTCCAAAATGCCCTTTTTGTAGGCGTTCACAGCTTCTTCTGGTGATGAAAATCGCTGTCCACGCAATTTATTCTTTATTTTAGGGAAAGTATAGAAATCATTAGGGCTTATGTCGGGGGTGTACGGCGAATGGTCTAATAATTCTATGTTTTCTTGCTCTAAAAACTCTTTTGTTCTGTGTGCGGTGTGAGAACTCGCATTGTCGTGATGTAGGATGATGCGGCGGTTGCAATACTCTTTACGGAGTTCAGAAACGACCTGTGGCAAAGAAATGCTAGCATACCATTCTGCATTGACCGTTCTTTTTTCCTCAAGAGGAATAGTCGTAACATGGCCCGTTTTGGAAACAAACGTGGCAACCAATTTTTTTTGCAACACTCCGTGAACGAACAATTTTTGTTGGCTTTAACTCATTTTCGAACACCCAAACTCGTGACTAGTTTTTTGTTTCGGGTTCGTACACGTATATCCAGGATTCGTTACCTGATACGATGTTGTGTACAGCATTTGAGGATCCTGTGTGAATCTTTCGAGAATTCTGACGCACCAAGTAACGTGAGCCGCTTTTTGCTTTTCACAGAGCGAATGCGGTATCCACCGGGAAAACAACTTTTTTACACTTAATTGTTTATGCAAGATTGCTTGTATTTGACTCATTCCAATTTCTAAAGTTGCCTGAATTTAGCGGTATGTCACATGTCAATCTTCCTCAATCAGCTTACACGCAACATCAACGTTTTCTTGGGTGACTGCAGTTTTTGAACGACCTTGACGGGGATCATCACTGAGCTTGACACGTCCACGTTGTAATTAAGCAAATTAGCGGTAAATTGTGGCTTTGGATGGGGCTTCATCACCAAATGCAGAAATCATCCGGTCAACACACTGTTTTTGTGTTAAACCACTTCGAAAGTCATAATAAATCATCGCTCTTGGATTTTCTCGAGTCAATTCCATTTTCTCAACGACTAAACATACAAATACAATACAAACACCCACGCCTGTCACCCAGAGGGGTAGGCAGAGACTACGGACTTCCATTTGGCACGATCCTGAGATACCTCTTTCGCCTCCTTTACATCCATATATCTACGCATACATGCTCGTCGGTTAAGGGTACTTCTAACGTGGCCCATTTTCAAAATATCGCCAATTTGGTCGATAAACTTTTTTCTAGGGCGTCCCTTCCCGACTCGGCCATTCACATCTGCCATATGAATTTGCTTTGTCACTCTTTCCTCATTCATTATTTCTACATGACCAAACCACCGAAGCATTCCTTTCTTAATCCTGGTCACAACATCATCTTGCATACCACATTTATCTTTTATCACGCAAATTCTCAACCTGTCATTCAAATTCAACCCTAGTATATTCCTTAAAGACCGCATTTCTACAGCATTTATTCTACTTTCGTACTTCTTCTGCCACACCCAGCTTTCACTACCATACATTAAAGTAGGGACTAACACAGCATTATGAATTACCATACGTGCCTTTTTTGACACATTCTGGTTCTTCATAATAGAGTGTAGTGCCCCATTCACTCTATTCCCTGCATTTACTCGTCGTTCTATATCCCTATCATATCTA